CCTGCTCCCCCAGCCAGAAGAGAGCAACATGCCACACCCAATTACCTTGCCTTCATAACATCAGCCCCAGCCTATGGGCTTCCTTGCCAAAAGGCCAGCCCCCAAGACCTGTTCCTTCCATTCTAGAGTGCAGGACAAGCAGAGGGCAGGATCTGTGGCCAGGACCCTCGCTATTAGTGTGACTGTTGTTCTGCACTGATCCTTGCCAACAGCACAGCTGGCTGGGCTGGGGAGGGATAGGCAAAAAAGTCAGCTCATAGAGCCCTCCTCTCCCCCTGAGAGTAACAGCCCCATCTCTGGGGAGCACTGTAAAAACCACAGCAGAAGGAGGTGACCACTGGGCCTCTGCCAATCATAAAGCAGTGATTCCACTTGAGAGGGAAGTGGGAGGCATGTGAAACTCTCTGCCAAGGGGGTCAATTCTGCCCACCCCCAGATAGAAGCCTATGACCTTCTCAGGGCCAGAGTCACCTTCTAAAACCCAAAATCTGCCCAGGCTGCTCTTACTGGAACTTCTAACTCCTCCTCCATGGTTTACAGGCTCATCGGGGCCTAGGTCCTGAGCTGCAGTCCCTAGCTGCCCTCACTGACTCTGCCCAGACCTCACATGCAGGTCTTCATGCAACCCATCCCTGCACCCTGCCACACTAAACCTCCCTCCAGACCTCCACACTACAAGTCTTCCTTCTAGAAGGCTGTCCTTCTCCCATCCCACATGACTGCCTTGCCAAACCTTGCCCATCTGGGACAGCTCACAGGTCTTCCCTGCTATCACACTAAGGAGGCTCCCCAACAGCCCCCAGCACCTCTCAATCCCCTGCCTGGTATCCAACCAACTCCTCACTTTCTCACTTGTTTTGCTTTGGTCATCTTCAGCTCTGTGAGGATAGACTTTGGCCAGCATACCCCCAAATCTCCAGCACTTGATGCAATGCCAGACACATGGTTGGTGCTCAATAAATGGTGGTGGATGAATGAAACCCTTTTCTGAGCACCACAATTAGCTCAGGATCAAACCCACACCTCTCACCTGGACCCCACAGGCTCTGCTGCTACTCGCTCAGACCACTCCCAAATGTCATGCCATTCCAGGGGTTATGGTGGACACTCAACAAAAGCACCCAGAGGAAAGGTAAGCACAGAGCTGACAGCTGGGAAGGATTTAGACTTGCACCTTGGAGAGCAGCAACTTACATCATGGGAGAGGAAGGGGCCTAGGAGCTGCACTTGTCAGCTTTTCCTTGATTATATACCCCGCCCCCATTTCCGCCTCTGAGAAATGGAGAGGCTAATATTGGCCCTGCCCTGCTCCAGATGTCCTCTAACAAAGTTCTGTGAACTGGGTAGGCCCTCAAAGTCCTAGCAGAAATAGTAAGAATTACTAGGCTACACTGAGAGTACACCTTGCACACTGCTTGTCTTGAGTAGAGAAGAGGAAGCAGCCCTGCAGGCGCTGCTCTGTCCACACAGCTACAAATGCTTTCCACAAACCAACCCACCTAAGCTTCCCAGCAACAGCATCAGCCAGAGATTGCCATCACTCCCATGACTCGGATGAAAGGCACTCAGGGGGTGAAGCGCTGCTCAAGTCCATACAACAGGTGGGGCTGGTGGGAGTGGCTCCAGTGCTAGAGCACTTGCCAAGCCAGTGTCACCAAAAAAAAAAAGACCATACAACCAGTGCATGGTGGGGCTAGATTTGAACCCTGTGCTCAAAATCTCTTCAGTACAGCTCTTTTTTTTTTTTTTTTTTAAACTAGCACAGCTTTTAACAGAAGCTGGAAACACCGAATGTTTAGATCCTGGCTCAGCAGAGCTGGAACCAAAGGTAAGGATGGGCAGGGCAGAGTATCTTGGTCCCATAACATGTTTGTGACTACCCACCAAGATTTCCACCACACCAGACACCATCCTAGGAGCTCCTTGCTGTGAGAAAAACTCACAGCAGATGACTTCCTTTCTGAGCCCACTGCATGGAGGTGAGTGCTGTGGTCCAAGGTTACATAGCAAGAAGGCAAAAACACCAGAACACATTCCCATCCTACCTGTAACAGTGGCTATGTTACTCCTGCGTGGTTCTCGTGCTGTCTCCTCTCCCTCCCAGCACACACGGATCCAGAGTGAAAAGAAGCCCTAGCTCAGGGCCAGGTATAGTGGCTCATGCTTATAATCCCAGTTACACAGGAGACAGAGGTAGGAAGAGCACAGTCTAAGGACAGCCCTGAGCAAAAACTTAAGACCCTACCTGAAAAATAACTAAGAGCAAAAAAGGGCTGAGGGCATGAATTAAATGGTAGAGCACCTGCCTAGCAAGCACAAGCACAAGGCCCTAAGCTCAAAGAATAAAAGAGATACAGAGAAAAAATACAGAGAAAAAAAAAATGCCTATCTCAATTCAGAAGACTCCAAGTTTCCCCTGCAAGCCCATGAGTGCTGGACTGGCCATGGATAGAAGCACTCATTGCAGCCCTAAGCCTGGGGGTGAAGGCAAAGAAGTATCTGAGTATAAAGGGGACAAGGACCCACTCCAGCCTGGGACCTGGTATGCAAAGACTGTGGCACCAGAGTCTAAATGACCTGGGTTCAAACCTCAGCCTGGTCTCTGAGGGTCTGATAAGACCTGGGAGAAGGCAACTCTTCCTCTAGGCCTCAATTTCTGACTCTGCAAAAAAAGAAATAAACACCAGATAGGGGCCCACAGCCAGACACAGAGTATTCACTCACAAACAAAAGCCTCCTCACAGCTCAGTGCCTCAGTTGCCTTATCTGTAAAATGGGTACCATACTCCCACCTCACTCACAGGACTCTGTAAAGAAAAATATAACTGCAGGTATGTTTTAAGACTTATTAAATAGGATCATGTGTGCAAAAAGCCTGTCAACACACTTAGTATGGGCCAAATGTTCAATAAGCGCTTTCTGAAAGCCCTGGAAGTGATTTGCCTCTGTGCCTCAGTTTCTTACCCAAAAGGGAGAGGTGACAACAGTGCCCGCCACTCTAGAATATGAACATTCAGCAAGTTCACTTATGTAAGGCATCCTGAAGAGTGTGTGGCCCACAAAATGCACTCAAGGTAAGGTCAGCCATCAACTTCATGGTTGTTTTTATTGTTGTTTTTTGGGCGCTCTCTCTAAAAGCTAGGAGGACAGAACAAGAGGACAAACCCTCTAGTAGGGAAAAACCCTCAAGAGTGCCCACTGCCTCCATTACTCAGGGACCTGAGTACGATCATGGGTGATCGTACTCAGGAACAATCATCCATGGACACAAGTCAGTTTGGAAGTCACTGCTGGGGACCAGAGGCAACCATCTGCCCCCTTGACCACATCACCAGCCTGGTCAGCTGAATCGATCAGGGACTGCAGCCAGACTCAGGGCAAAGGTTACAGGACAAGCAAAGGTCACAAGCTGGCCTAGGGAGCAGAGGCACTGACCACAAACTTCTAGGGTTGGCTGCTCCAAGTACCAGGCCAGGAACCACAAGAGAAATCAGACCTGTAGGGGATCTAACTGCCGGGAGCCCTTCAGAACAGCCGTGGTGAGGATGGGCCAGGGGCAAACCCCTCCAAGTCCCTGTGGCCTATGCAGAGAGGAACAGCTGAGAAAACAGCATTCAGCCTCACCAAGGGGCCAACTGTTATGGCTCAACTGGGAGGGAACACAAACATGACAAGCAGCAGGGCTGGTAACCCAGAGACACGAACAGCCTCATGGAAGGGGATGGAGGAGCCTGAGGTGGTTTGCTTTGGTGTCTGGGCCCTTCACACCCACTAAGCAACAAGATAGGGCAAGGACTGAATGCTGCTTCTCTGGGAAGGGGAGAGTGGACAGGGCTTAAAAGCACCCCACTCAAAAGCCTAATTATTCCAACCTAGATCTCTCACAGAGTCACAAGAGTTCTCTATCAGAGGAAAAAGGCCTCAGAATCTTGAGGATCAAGTTGTCCCCAGCTACCTTGCCTTGGGGTTGAGCTGTCCCTCCAAACACTACTTTCTGCCAAGTCTGAACAAGGAGATTTAGGGGCACAGCTCCTCAAATCCAAACCCAAAACCCTTTCCCTTTCCTAACAGGGAGCTTCTAGCTCAGACTTCAGCGACTTCTAAGACATACCTCCTCCACCCCCGGAAGGAAAGAACTTGCCAAAGGATGTCCCACACACCTTAAAGTGAAATAATCTGAGAGGGCTCTGGTGCGCAGAATAGACAACCCCAGTGTTCAAAAGTGCCTAGTAACCACCCAGTCCATCCCAAAGTCATCAAGAAGTTCAATTAAGGGTGAGCTCTGTTAAACGCCCACCCGCTACACACTAAATACAGGAAGCAGAAGCCCCTCCGCACTACTCGGCATCATAGATCCCCCAAAGTACGACTCTAACATCCACCCACTTGGGGATGTCCTGCTCCCCTGCGCCCCGTCCCTCAAAGATTATAAACATCACAGTCCTCCTCCCGACACTGAGCTGCTGTACGTCCTAAGGATGCGCCCCCCCGCCCGCGCGCCTAGGTGGTACAACCCAGACGGCTCCATCCCAGTCACTCTCGGTACAGGCCACTCTCCAGAAACCCCATCCCTCCGAGTAACTTATAGGAATGGCCCCCAAAGCCCTTAAGTGGCACAGCTCTCTACACTTGACACGGTGTGCCCCTCACTGGTTTAGTCCTCGCACATCAGGCACGATCTCTCCCCACACCCATCTGGCTCGGCTCCCAGCCCACAAGGTTGGAATCTGTGCCCTCAGTGGTTCGACCCTCACACACTTGGTGAGCTCCCCCTGCCGCTCTAGTGGTACGGCCCATCACCACCGCCCCCGGCCCCTCAGGGCTAGTCCCACCACCCCCGTGCGCCACCCCCACTCAGTTCCGGAAAGGGGGAGGGGGACTCGAAGTCCGCGGTCCCCTCCCGACGGGCACGGTGGTACGGCCCAGCGCGGCACCGCGGGGGACCCGGACGCGACCATCGCGGGGGGGGGGGCCTTGGGGACACGCGCTGGCGCACTCACCTGTCACCGGCGACCGCCCAGCCTCTCCGGCGGGGCTCTACCCCCGCCCATCGCCACGCTGCGCTGGCTCCAGCTCCTTGTGTTTCCTGGTGACTACGGCGGTAGCCGAGACAGTGGCGACGCCTTCACAGAGCCAGACTCAACGGCTCGCGCGGCACGGCCCCCCCGCCCCCTCCCCCCAGCCCCCGCTTACCGCCCCCTCCCACCCTCCAGCCGGAAATACCGCCTTCTCTCGCCACAAACAGGAACTGACGTTAAAGAGTGAGGGACCGGCTTGTAGAGCGCCAGTGCGCAAGTGCAAGGAAGGGAGGGCGTGGTCACAGCGGAGCGCCTGCGTATATTAGGACATGTTGGCCTGTGTAAGCGCCAGGCTCTGGCGCGGGCCCGAAATGAGAGTTGCGCGTGCGCAGTAGGATACCGCCGCTGACTTTCCCTGGAAGCGCTCCGCAGTGATTATTTCCCGTCAGCCCTTGGTCCTTATTTACATACGCTTTGATCTTCTTTTACGCTTTTATCTTCTTCCTCTCGCAAGAGAGGTTCTTGAAAGAGCCCGGAGCGGAGTTTTGGCAGGGGCTTCTTTTTTAGTTTGCCTGTCTTGATTGAGCTCAGGCTCTGAAGCCGCACAACCCCAGGTTTGAATTTCATTCTTGTCTAAAACTGTGGGTCGACAGTTTTCTGTGCCTCAGTATCTTTCTGCAAAATGGAAACAATCTTAAACTATTTCACGGAAACAGAACGGATATGACTCCAAAATGTTAGTGCTAGCTGCGCACCATATACATCGAAATGAATATGGAATATATAACTACTTTTATGGGGCAATATAGGCCGTAATAAAATTCCCCCTCAAAAAAAGCTTTAGAAGCGGGTGTGGTTGTGCATAGGCGTAATCCCAGCAGTGGGAAGCTGAGGCGGGAGGATGGTGAGTTCAAGGTTAGCGTGGGGATACGTAGTGACAACCTGTCTCAAAAAATCAAAATAAAGGAAAAACGAAAGCAAAGCGCTTCACAGGGATCCTGGCCCATGGTTTAGAAGAGGCACTAAACAGCTGTGAGATATCTGGCTGCCGGTTCCTTCTCTCATAGGTTGGGAAAGGATTACTACCTTCTGAATTTGGTTTACAATATGCCACGAAGCTTGACAAATGTGCCTTGGTGAGAAAAATGAATGGCTGAAAGCTAAATCCAGAATCCATCTCTGTCTCTCTGTGAGAGTTTCTGGCAAGTCCCACTTAGGACTGGCCTTCGTTTCCCCAAAGGTTAAAACCATTCCGTGCTGAAAATAACCCTTAGTTCATTGATTTCCAGCTAGGAACTCCCTGTTCTGTACTCCTCATTTACAAGCTTCCCTGATCTAACCAGTGCCTCTGCCTTCACATCCCTGACCATTTTAGTGTCAAATCTGGTCTCCCCCACTGAACAGGGAGCCCTATGAGAGAAGAGACCAGGATAATACTATGTACTCAGCACTGTCTGCAAAAGTTCTGCAGAGTGGGTTCTTGTGGAATCTTTAAGAACTAGCTCTTGGCAAGGCGCTGGTGGCTCACGCCTGCAATCCTAGCTACTTGGGAGGCAGAGATCAGGGGGACTGCTTTTCCAGGCCAGCCTGAGCAAATAGTTCACCAGACCCTATCTTGAAGATAACCCAACACAAAACAGGGCTGGTGGAGTGAGTCAAGTGGTATAGTGCCTGCTTAGTAAGCGTGAGACCCAAAGTTCAAACCCCAATTCCACCAAAAAAAAAAAAAAAGCTCTGTGCTCTAATCTAAGGCATAATATACCCAAATGTATATGTGCAGGATAATGAAACAAAAGAATCACCAAAAGTTATTTACTTCTATGGATAGTACACTTTTTTTTTTCATTATCGGGGCTTGAACTCAGGGCCTCGCACTTGCTAGGCTCTACCACATGAGCCACACCCCAGCCCTTTTTGCCTAAGTTATTTCTCAGTCTCATGTTTTTGTCCAGAGCAAGCTTCAGACCTCAGTCCTCCTACTTATGCCTCCACATGAAGCTGGGTGGCAGGCATGCACCTCCATATACACCTAGTTGATTGAGGTTGGGGGGGGGGTCTCCAGAACTTTTTGCCAGAGCCAAACTCAAACCATGTCCTGATCTCTGCTTCCTGAGTAGCTGGGATTACAGATGTAAACCATTTTACCCAGCCTCAGAACCATTTTTTTCTTTTTTTAAATTTCTTTTTGTTTTTTTCTCTCAGAACTATTTCTTTTAAAGTTTTTACTTATCTTAAGATGTTTAAAAGAGGTCCCTAGACTAGATAGAATCATTGAGACCATATATCTTTGTTCCCTAGCCAGAAGTTACTAAGCCTCCCCCAGATGCTACTGTAGTGGGAAGGTCCTTTCAGAGGAATGTTATGTGTTTGGCAGAAATGCAGATAAGCCAATTTCCCTCTTAAAAAATATGTTTCTCTTTCAAAAATTTAATAGAAGACAACATGCACATTCAATCTTGTAATGTATAGGAAGTACCCCAAACATTTAAGCTACTATGTGAGGCTAATGTGCTTCTGTATGGGATGAAGTGTTTTCTCCTCTCCATAAAATTGAGCAACTGAGTTGGGCATGGTGATACACACTTGTAATCTCAGCACTTGGGAGGCTGAGGTATGGGCTGGTGGAATGGCTCAAGTGGCAGAGCGCCTGCCTAGCAAATGTGAGTCCCTACATTCAAGCCCAGTACTGCCAGAAAGGAGGAGGAGAAGGGAGGCTAAGGGTGCAAGGATCAAAAGTTCAAGGTCAGCCTGGGCGACATAGGGAGGCTCTGTTTCAAAGAAAAAAGAGCATCTTACCAATTTTCTCCAAACGCACATATGGCTTCCTAACCATGTAGAATAAGAATCAAAGGCCTGCTGGTGGGGTGGCTCAAGTGGTAGAGCACCTGCCTAACAAGCATGAGGCCCTAAGTACAAACTCCAATACCGCCAAAAAAAAAAAAAAAAAAAAGAGCCAAAGACCTTAGTGTGGCTTCAGAACCCTGTGTGGGCCTCCTCTGCCTGTCTTTCTAACATCAACTAAAGCTACTCTTGCCTTAACTCATGTTTCAGACACACCTTGTCTTCTAAAAAGACAAGCTTGTGGGGGCAGGCGGGGGACAGGCATGGAAGTGCACTCCTATAATGAAGGATCATGGTCCAAGGCCTGCCAGGGTGAAAGTGTGAGACCCTATCTAAAAATAAACTGAAGTATAAAGGGCTGGGAGACTGGCTCAAGTGGTTAAGCACTTGTCTAATGAGCTTAAAGCCCTGAGTTCAAACCCTAGTACCACCAAAAAATAGACAAGCTTGTCCCCACCTGAAGCCTTTGCATGAGCTGCTCCCTCTCCTTGGCCTCGTCATCCCCCATCCTGATTTTTGCATGACTGGCTCTTTCTTGGCACTCAGTTCAAATCTCTCCCCTCCTCCATTTTTTGAGGTGCTGCTGTTTGAACTCAGGGCCTCACGCATGCTAAGAAAAGTGCTCTCTACCACTTGAGCCATGGCCCCAGCTAAATCTTCCCTCTTCAAAGCTTTTCCTCTTCACCCCAAATCCAAAATAGCTCATATATTTGAATCCCCTGGCTACCATTTAATGCTAAAAGGTTTGAGGGTTTTACTGGGGGGATTTTTATTTTTGTTTTTTGGTTTTTTTGAGGGTTTTTTGTTTTGTTTTTGTTTTTGCCAGTACTGGAGTTTGAACTCAAAATCCCTCACTTGCTAGGCAGATGCTCTACCATGTGAAGTTCTCTGCCAGCCCTTTTTTGTGTTGGGTTTTTTCAAGATAGGGTCTCATGAACCATTTGCCTGGGGCTGGCTTTGAACCATGATCCTCCTGATCTCTGCCTCCCGAGTAGCTAGGATTGATTACAGGAATAAGACACCTGTGCCCAGCTTGTTGTTTGTTTTATAGCTGTATTTCCCCAACCAGAATATAAATTTTCCCATCAGACCAAAGACCTTGTTTGGGCCCCACTATCTTCCTAGCCCTTAGAACAACACCTGAAGCATAGTTGGGACTTAAGGAATCAAAAAATATTCCACTGGGAGCTAGTGGCTCACACCTGTAATCCTAGCTACTTAGGAGGCAGAGATCAAGAGGATCATGGTTTAAAGCTAGCCTGGACAAATAGTTCGCAAGACCCTATCTCAAAAAACCCCTTCACAAAGAAAAGGGCTGGTGGAGTGGCTCAAGATATAGGCCCTTAGTTCAAACCCCAGTACCACAAAAGAAAAATGGTATGGTATGGTGGCATATGCCTATATACATGGAAGATATAGGATCGCAAGTTTGAGACCAGCCCAGACAAAGGTAACAAAACAATTAAAAAAAAAAAAAAGGACTGGGGTGTGGCTCAAGTGGTAGGGTGCTTGCCTAGCATGCATGAAGCCCTGTCCTGGGTTCAAATTCCAGTACTGAAAAAAAATTTTTTAATTCTTTTTTTGCTTGTTGGGGTGCTGAGGATCAAACTCAGGGCCTCAGATGTAGCCCTAGTCAAGTGCCCTACCACTGATCTACATTCCCAACCCCCCAAATGTGATTTTTTTTTTTTTTTTGGTAGCACTGGGGTTTGAACTCAGGGACTCATGCTTGCAAGGCAGGCACTCTTACCACTTGAAGCCACTCCACCAGCCCCCAAATGTGATTTTGATAAGGAAGGTTAAAGCTATGTACTGGTCTGATTTTTATTACAGGTCTGAACTTGTCGACTCATGGTGAGTTGAATGAACGAGATAATTTCCTAGCCTTCACTGAAGAATTCCCACAGATCAGACACAGTGCTAGGACCTACATGCACGGCCTTGTTAGATGTTCCTGTGGACAGAATCTCCATAAGGCCTATTTTGCAGAAGTAAACATAGGCCCAGAGAAGGGAAGTCTCTTGCCAAAGATCGTACACCCAGACCCCTCCCCAAAGATGTGTCAGGCCAAGCCCACCCTTTCACCCACATCCCGGGACTTGTATAGAGCCAGATTTGAGATGCAGCAAAATACCTTTCTGTGATGTGAGTGTATGTGGATTAGAAAAAAAGAAATACTTAAAACATAGTGTCCCATATTAAATTGATACCATCTTAAAAAAAAATTCATCAAGAATGGAGTAATTTTCACGGGGTGATTTACTAACTCTATTTACAGTGTTGTCACAAGATGGCGCCACAGGAGCTGACCTTCCTACTAGAATCTCAGCCTTGTAGCTTGGTTTCCATAAAGTCATTTGGGGACCTTGTGCTGTTATTTTCACATTCACTGTATGAAAGGAAGTTCTTATACATCC